AAGGGGAGGAATGAGGAGAGAAGATGACACAGATACTTCCTCAGTTAACTTAGCTTAATTAACCATATGAACTATGCTCAAGGGTATGATCTTAAAACCAACAAGCTGCGATTATATTATTTTTTCAGATAATCATTCAGAGCTGTATTATAATGGGATCACTCCTCAGGTTAAGTGGATATGTGATGACAGGAGAATATAGGTTCTGCTAAGTACTATCTAATCCACATTAAATGCCTGAAATGAAAACTGTGCTAACCTCCTTTGCTGAATCTGTTTCTTTTTCTGCAGGAATACCTCTCTTTAGAACTTCACGCTGTGTCTGCATCAAGATTAGTGATCAACCTGTTAATCTAAAGTCCTTAGAAAAACTTGAAGTGATTCCTGCAAGTCAATCATGTCCACAAGTTGAGATCATGTGAGTAATATTCCATCTAATGATAATTTGCCTGGTGTAATCATATAAAAATATGTGATGATCACAAAAGATCAGTAACAGGTTTGAGATGATTCTAAGACTTCTGTATAGCAAAAGAAACATGTAGAGTGAAACATATACATTTGACTTAAAAACTATATCCTATCTGTTTTATTGGCTCAACATTGTTTTAAATATTTTCACTCCTACACAGTGCAATGTGTATATATATATATATGCCTTACTGTTGAATTGTACGCCTGAAACCTACTGTATTTCATTAACAAAGGTCACCATAATGAAAATTAAAATTAAAAAATACATACTTTCACTCCTATTTACTTCTATAGTGCCACGATGAAAAAGAACGGGGAAAAAAGATGTCTGAATACAAAGTCTAAGGCCGTCAAGAATATACTGAAATCAATTAGCAAAGAAAGGTAGGTTTGCTATTGGTTGCAGAACTGCTCTTTAAGAAATGTCAGTCTTGGGAAGTTAGAAATATTTGCATTGAAATTTCCTGTGGGACCCTTGGCTTAAAAGTGTATTGTACCATGCTCTCTCCTCTACCTTCATTTATTTATATACCAAGGTGCCATCTTCTAGGGTATCAAAAGTTACCCTGACTACCTGTCGAAAATTGTCAATACATCACTTCAACCTTGAGGCAGAGCTATAACTATCCAAGCAAAGCTGTCAAACTTGCCCCCAAGTCTTTCCCGGCCTTAAAAAATAAAGCAGCCCCTGTAATCCACAATGATTGTGTAGCAGCAGGAAAGCTCACCACATACTTCACCTAAGAGGGGTTATCTATGAACTCAGTAAGTTCTTAGAATCCAGACGGAAGTCAAAGTTGAGAGTATCACACTTTTACACCCCTTTCTTCTTCTTACAGGTCTAAAAGATCTCCTTGAACAAAGAGAGAAGCATAATCACAGCACAGAGACTGCCTCTGCCATCATTTCCCTTCATATAGTATATGTCAAGCCCTAACTGACCCTGGATTGTAGTTCTCCTAAACGGTGACCAACCAGTCACCAAATAAGCTGTTACTCCTACAGGGCGGTGGATGGTTCATCATCCTGGGCTGTTCAGTAGTAACTCTGCCCTGGCATTATACTATAAGCTATGCTCGGGTGCTACATTCTTAGTGAATGTGTGAAGCCCTAGTCCTGCTTTCCTCATCTTTCCTACTTTCTAAAGGTTATTAAAAGATCTTTCTACCTCTAAGCTTATTTGAGTTCTTAGAATCTCAAATAACGTGAATGTAATCAAAGTGATAATACAATCATACAATCTGTTTTTTTACAGAAAGATCTTTACTCCATGGGCTTCTACTGCCATTATCCCAAAGGGCTCAGAATCTCCTGGTGGTTATATATATAATTTTTATTATATATGTAATTCCAAATCATAGAAATGTATGGAAATGTATGTGAAAATAGTATTATTGAATGAAAAACTGTACAAAGCAGAATTCTTAGATGTATATGTCTTTTATATTGTTTTCAGTGTTTGTGAAATAACTTGTATTATTACGTACTACACATAAATGAGCAATGGAAGAATTTTTAAATCAGATATGCTGCGTGTTATGTAAGACAAATATGCTGGATGTTTTTCAAGATAAAAAAGGTATGCTCTCTTGGAAATATCAAGAATGATTATTTAACTGTTGAGAGACTAAAAAAGTAATAAAATAACTATAACTAATATGAAGTGTCTGATGGGTCATTTGACTGAGACGTTTATTTCATAAGAAGCTTATACTGAAGAATCCATAGCCTAGAGAAGCTGGGATGGGTAGAAGACAAATGAGTTTAAGAATTACAATACAAGATTCCTTCAGGGCTAATGTGGAATAACAGAACTTGGCCCAAGCTTCAGAGCCTTATAGCCAATTTCCTATGAGACATCTCCACCTGGATATCCCATAGAAACATCAAACTTCAAAATACATTACATTAACTCCCCTCTCCTCCAGATCTATTTCTCCTCCTCTATTGTATGTCCGAGTTTAATAGCACCATCATCCACTCAGTTGCCCAAACCAAAAACCTGGGAATAATTCTATGCTCCTTCTTCTCTCTCCCCTCCCATATCCAATTAGTCAATAAGAAAATATTTAAAATGCATTTAGTTGGCAAATTATTATATTAGTATGTATAAAGAACTCCTATGAATAAAAAAGGAAAAGCTAGACAACTAAATGAAAAATAGAAAACAGAAGTAAATAAGAATTTCACAGAAGAAAAAATCACATGCCCTTAACATATGAAAAGATGTTCAACCTCATTAGTAATTAGGGACGTGTCCCTTCAAATTATTATGGGATACCACTGCACACCACCAGACTGGCAAAATCTTTTAAGTTGGATAATATCAACTGCCAGGGAGGACTCAGAGCAATGAGAAATGTCCCTCCACTGCTGGTGAAAGAGAAAATAGCTATGACACTTTGGAAAACAGTTTGGTATTTATAAAATTTAACGTGCACACTCTATGTCCTAGCAATTCTATTACTATATATATATACCGTAGATGAATTTTGCATAGAACATATATGAGAGAATGCTACAGAAGCATTATTTATAACAGCAAAAATCTGGACACAATCCAAACATCCACAAATAGAATAAATAAAAAAACTAGAGTATGTTAATTCAATAGGATATTATACAGCAGTGTAAATAAATGAAGTATAACTACATATCAACGTGGATGAATCCAAAAATGATCTTACACAAAAGAAACGTCACATTAAAGTACTTGCAGCATGATTCCATTTACTATAAAGTTTTAAAACAGGCACAACATTATATTGAAGAGTTAAGACATATATGATGAAAACAAATAAAAAACAAAGGAATGATTTCCATTAAAATTCAGGGTGGCGATTACTTCAGGTGAGAAGGGAATGCAATCAGGGAAGGGTACGAAAGGGGCTTCTGAACTATAGTAAATTTCTACTATAGGTAGTGAGTACATCAGAATTCGTTCCTTAATCTGTACCTACACATGCTCTACTTTACATTAAAAAGGCAAAACAAACTAGCAAATAAAACAAAGAACTTCTGAATATTACCAAATGTGAGATGTCTTCATGAGTATCAAGCAACTTCACATAGCAAAATGGAAGAGTAAGAGATGATGTTATCACTGGAGAAGTAATGTACAGCAGGTGACTATAGTTAATAGTAAGTAAGGCAGTAGATCTCAAAATTTCTCATCACAAAGGAAAAAATTTCTAACTATGTATAGTGACGGATGTGAACTAGACTTATTATGGTATTTCACAATATACACAAATATCGAATCAGTTTTATGCGTAAAACTAATATAATGTTATATGTCAATTACATATCAATGGGGGAAACTGGAAAAATAAGTGGGTGAGAGTGAGAGAGCCCCCATGCATGAACAATCACATTCTTACCTATGACACAGGAATATGGTATACGACCATTACAATGGGAGCCTTAACTGGGTCACAGCTAGACTATGAAGTGACAGAACTGCCTTCTCATTTTCTTTTTCTTTCTAACACTCTAATTATATACAAAAACATCACCTATCTCATTCTCAACTGACTGTCAACTAATTTTCAGGAAGGTATTAACCAATAAATATTTAAGCTGCCCTCTGTTCAAAAGTAGGGTATTCATTTACAAATATTTATGTCCCCTATACATCAGGTTATAAGAAATGACTATATTGTGAGTTTATAATTTATTATTAATGATAAAACTAAAGATAAATAAATTTGAACTGAAAAAAACTCTGGGGCTGAAAAAAACTCCAAATGTACAAGGAAAATAGAGAAAACAAGAGAAGCCTTTCCTGGGAAAGTGATGGCGATCTGGAATCTGAAAGATGTGTATGTATCTGATAGGCAAGAGAAAAGTGAATTCTAGGAGATGAAATAGCATGTCAAAGTATTAGGTATGAGATAGTGCGGTGTGTTCAATCCAGAAAAATGTATAAGTATGAAGTTAGAGGTATGAATATTATGGGAAATAATCTTGGAGAGACATATTAAGTATTAGATCATGAACACTTTTCTATGCTAAGTAGGCCACTACCATCATTATATAGTTATAAGCTATATACGTGTTATGAAACACATATAAAAGTAACATAGATTGCCAGACTACACTATAGTAACAAAGCTCCCAAAATATTAAAAACCTAACACAATTAAAGTTTACTTTGTGCTCAAAGTTCCATGTAAGTTAGCAGGGCCTCTATGCTAACTCAGGAACATAGTGTCCCTCTATCTCAATCAAGGGCTGCCATGATAGGAAAGAGAAGGATGGAAGTGGAATACTGGCTCTTAGATGCTTCAGTCCAAAGTACTGTCTTATTTGTTATGAGGGATAGAAACCGTAAGGGAACATGTATTTGTCTCTGCCAAAAACAGAAAAATTATAAAATGAGACTTTAAAAAATTAAAATAAAACCAGAAAACAAGGCTCATAAAGAAATCTAGCTCGGAAAGAGAAGTCTAGACAGACATTTAAGAAATAATGAAAGTCTTATATCTTAGGAAGTTAGATCAGAGGTGAAGAATTTCTTTTCTGAGTAGAAAATTTACATGTTCAATGTAAATAAAATTTCACGTACATATTGAACAAATGTGTGGACACATCTACTGTAGTATGGTCATGTTATAAATCTCAGGGAGAGAATCTATTTTCCTGGAGAAATATATTGCCCACGTTGATCAAAAGCTTACAACCTGATCTAAGAACAATGGCCTCCTACAAAGAAGGGAAAGGGGAAATGGCTGTACTTTTCTTTCTTAATTTTCTTTGTTAGACCATACTTAGTTAATTCATTGTTCCATATCTAGAGCTTGATAGTTGACTACCAGTGTACTTCCTTTCAAAAGCTGGCTGAGAACCTCAACAGGGCACTGAGAATATGACAATAACTACTCTGGTGATTCTGAACAAGTCATTAAAGTCTGCTTGGGCCTCTGTGTTCTTATCTATAAAATAGAAGTAGAAATAGCAATCCTCCAGAAACGCTGCTAAGATAAATAACTGCCAAGAGTAAAATAAATACTATTTCTAGGTGATATCATCTATAATCCTATTTCTTTTTGCTTTTCTTTATTTTCCAAATTTTCTACAAAGAATATTTTTACTATTTTTAATCAGAAGGAAAAAGTTTTAAGCAAATGGAAACTAATTTTCAAAGACACTAAATATTAATGTTAAAGCATTAGGATTTATGTTCTCAGTGACCTTCATGAAATTACTCATCTCTGAGAAAGATCTGAACTGAAAACAGAGTCACATATATATGCAGAACTTCTCTATGCTAGGCTAAAATTTAACAACTTGTGTTAAAAATCATTAAACTATTACTGGATATATTTCAGGTCACCAGGTTATAGTGTCTTAGTCATTATTAGTCTCCTTGCTTACCCTCTTTCCTGCTTCTGTTTATTCTATATACAATTGCCAGGAGAATACTTTTAAAACATAAATGAGATTATGGCTCTCCCCGGTCTCATCCTTCCAAGAGCATGCCATCAGACTTAAAATGAAATCCAGAATCCTTCATCATAATCTGTAAACCTCTATATAACTCTCGCACCTCACTCTATTTTCCTCCACCTTTCTTTTCCAGCCATATAGGCCTCCTATTGCTCCTCAAGCACAGCAAACATATTTCCATCATTTCCATAGCTCACTCCTTCACTTCATTCAGGTCTCTGCTCAATATTACCTTCTCAGGGAAGGCTTTCCTCACCAATCTATTGCAAATAGCACCATATCTATCACTCAATCTCTTTACCCTCCTTTAATTTGTTTATAGCCTTTATCAATACCTGTAAATATAAATATTAAATATTCACTTCTTGGTCTATATATTCTCTCTCCCCACAAAGTTCTATGAAAGCAGGGACTACACTTGTCTTACCACTGTATCCTTGGTACCTGCAAAAGTACTGGGTGTACAGTAATTCTCAATAAATACGTGTTGACTGAATGAATAAATGAGTTAGTGACATCTGCCATAGCTACGATCCTTTGGAAATTGGTGTTCCCTCCAAGGACAGACCTTAGATAGTTCTTAAACCTTAGGACAAAGTAAACTTGGAAGGAAAGAGCTTACTAGTTTTGTTGAATCCCCAGGTGGGCAACAGAAGGAACTATGACCTTCTCCCATTACAATATCCAATATGTGTACTGACACACAGTTTACTAGATTATAACAGTCCCTAAGTGGGACAAGAATTAAGGTTGTAAGCAAGGGATTATATGACTTTCAAAAATAAAAATGTTGCAAAACTAAATTTAATGCTGTAATAGCAGCAATAGCTATTACAAGGAGGGGAAATCCATATCCCCCAGGGTTCACCTAAAGATACTTTTTTCAAAATTTCAAAAAATAAAAAATAAAAACCTTGTCTTATTTTTGTTTGTGAAAGAGACAAAAATGTTGGTTACATATTATGCAAAACTTTCCCAGGACACTCAAGTTTAATTAGAGCCAGAATAGCTTAGTCATCTCATTTTCTAGGCTCATATGTAAGACAGAAATTTCCTCAATTAACTTTAGAATGGGAAAAGGGAAGAAAAGAAAAAGAAGTTGAAAAAGATTCAACATCAATATGAACTTAAGGAGAGTTAAAGAGTCTCTGTAATGCCATCATCCCCAGAGTAGAAGACTTTTATTTTGCGATGTGTGGTTTTTAGGGC